CCTGTCTCACATGGTGGCCAGCCAGTTCCTCTGGAGGGCCAACAACACGGCATAAAGGCCAAGGCCTTCATAAGAAGAGCCCTGCTGGATCAGACCAGTGATCCATCAGCTCCAGCATCCCGTCTCACACAGCGGTCAGCCAGTTCCTCTGGATAGCCAACAATATGACATAGAGGCCGAGGCCCTCCTTAGAACATAGGAAGGGCCCTGTTGGATCAGACCAATAGTCCATCTAGTCCAGCATCCTGTCTCACACAGTGGCCAACCAGTTACTATGGAGGTCTAACGAACAGGGCACAGAGGCCGAGGCCTTTCCTTGATGTTGCCTGCTGGCGCTGGGATTCAGAGGATTAGTGCTCTAAATGTGGAGGTTCCCTTGAGTCATCATGGCTAGTCACTGCGGATAGACTTCTCCTCCATGAATCTGTCGGGACCCCTTTAAGAGGTTCGTCTGTGTCTGTGGCCATCACTGCATCCTCTGGCAGCGAATACCACATTTTAATCACTCTCTGTGATGAATCACTTCAGTCTCCTGGACTAAGAAAGTGCTTGGTAAGCACAGTCACTTAGAGGGTCTCTTAAAATCCGTGGAGAGACCTGGGAGGAAGAAAATGCTTCCAGAAAGAAACTGCTGAAGGAAGTCACATCCCCCCCACACACACGCACAGAATTTCAGCTTAATGTACCATCTGTCAATTCCCTAAAGTACTGAGTTATTTTTTTCCTTCTGTCCTATATTCTGAACTTCAAAATTAGCCTTCACAAAAAAAAGAAGAGGAATGAGGGAGGCCACCCTGAAGCGAAAGGCAGACCCCAAGAGACAATTTCTGGGACATCTTGGGTAAAACCAGTCCATTCTCATTAATTAAGGCTCATTAAGAAGGTATTGAGAGATTTTTTGGGTTTAGTGGTTAGGAGCGCAGACTCTAATCTGGGAGAACCCGCTTTGATTCCCCACTCCTCCTCCTCATGCAGCTGCTGGTGTAACCTTGGGTCAGTCACAAGTTCTCTCAGAGCTCTCAAGGGCAGTCTTCAAGAGAGCTCTCTCAGCCCCGCCTACCTCACAGGGTGCCTGTTGTGGGGAGGGAGAGGGAAAGGAGATTGTGAGCCGCTCTGAGACTCCTTCGGGTAGTGAAGGGTGGGATATAAAATTAACCCACCCCCTCCTCCTCCTCCTCCTCCTCCTCCTCCTCCTCCTCCTCCTCCAGAACATAAGAGAAGCCAATGTTGGATCAGGCTCTAATCTGGAGAACCCCACTCCTCCACATGCAACCAGCTGGGTGACCTTGGGTCAGTCACAAGTTTTCTCAGAGCTGTTCTCTCAAGGGCAGTCCTCGAAAGAGCTCTCTCAGCCCCACCGACCTCACAGGGTGTCTGTTGTGGGGAGGGGAAGGGAAAAGAGATTGTAAGCCACTCTGAGACTCCTTCGGGTAGTGACGGGCAGGGTATAAATCCAATCTCCTCCTCCTCCTCCTCCTCTTCTCTGACCTGGATCGCCTGGGCTAGAGCAATCTCATCAGCTCTTCGAAGTTAAGCAGGGTCTGCCCTAGCTAGTACTTGGATGGGAGACCACCAAGGAAGTCCAGGGTCGCTACGCAGAGATAAGCAATTGCAAACCACTTCTGAACATCTCTTGCCTTGAAAACCCTACAGCAGGGGTGTCAAACTCATTTGTTAAAAGGGCCATAAATGAGAACTTGTTGGGCCGAGCCACGTGTGTCATAAAATGTAATGCCAGGTAGCAGAGGTATAAGCTTTATAAAGGACACAAAGACAAAGGGTTTTTTTAACTTAAAATAAAAACATGCTTAAAACATCAGCACCCTTGCAATATTTTGTTTATCTAACAGTGTCTGATAACTGACACCTCCTGCTCTGGATTATTGCATCAAAACGTCTGTGCTGTTGCAATCTCGAGTATGCTGTTCAGGTGTGTATCTGTAAGCTGCAAACCTACGATGACGCAGCAGCAGAACTGGAAGAAGCAGCAGAAGACAGCCAGTTCCACTGCGGGCCTGAGAGAAGCCCTCTGGGGGCCTGATCTGGCCCCCAGACCATATGTTTGACACCCCTGTCCTACAGGGTTGCCATAAGTCAACTCTGAATGCTAACAAATGACATCACATTTTTGCTGTTGTTTTAAAAGTACACTAAAAATTATATAAACGTTCCATCTAAAATGGTTGGGAAAGGGCATCATTAAGCTTCACTTGTATTCTGCTACTTCTCTATTCCGGTTGCCACAAGAACAGATCAGGCTCTTGCAGCCCCAGGTCAGGAATCCACGGCTTGAATATATTTTAATCACAATTTCCCTGACTTCAGACTATTGACATATATGTCTAGGATGAAGTGAGGTAGAAAGCTGTTACTGTGTATAGATCGGTATGATCTAGTCTGTAAGTCTTAGCTGTCATGCTAAGTGGTTAATAATCTTACAGCCAGGTGTTTAACTACCAGGTGCTACTCTTTGTCCTAGTTAAGAGTAGGTAATTAGTCTGCCCTGTTAGTGATTGGCTGGGACTTGTATATAATGTATAGGCTTGATAAGCTGGGTGGGGGACATAGTGCTCTCTAACTGAGGTATATTATGGTGTGTAATAGTCAGTATATTCTCTATGTAAATATTCATCAAATTGCACTATAAACTTTCTGCACTTTCACTGCCAGTCAGTCTCCAGGCTTCTTATTTACTGCACCCAATAGGGTTATGGGCCCAGCCCATAACCCTATTGGGTGCAGTAAATAAGAAGTCAGTTTCCCTGACTTTCCCTGACCAATTTCCATTACCCTGACTTTCCAGAAAGTGGCAACCCTGCAGTCACAGTTCTCTCAGAGCTGTTCTCTCAAGGGCAGTTCTTGAAAGAGCTCTCTCAGCCCCACCTGCCTCACAGGGGGTCTGTTGTGGGAAGGGAAAGGGAAGGTGACTGTAAGATGCTCTGAGATTCTGAGTGAAGGGCGGGGCATAAATCCAACTCTTCTTCTCTGCTATGGAGTGGACTCTAATCTGGAGAACCCCACTCCTCCACATGCAACCAGCCGGGTGACCTTGAGTCAGTCACAAGTTTTCTCAGAGCTGTTCTCGCAGAAGCAGTCCTCGAAAGAGCTCTCTCAGCCCCCCCCCATACACACACCTCACAGGGTGTCTGTTGTGGGGAGGGGAAGGGATTGTAAGCCACTCCGAGACTCTTTCAGGTAGCGAAGGGCAGGGTATAAATCCAATTTATTCAGTCTCAAGGGATAATTTTGCCAGGGATAGGCTGGTTTCATCAATAATCTGAAGCCCAGCTATACTTGGGGTCTGGGTGACATTTCTGTGGCCTTACAAGGTCGGGGGCTGAGTCGGAAGGATAAGGTAAACACATTTTTTTAAAACCTGAATACATTTATGCAGAGAGTCACTTCAATTAAACCATTTTGAGGTACAATTTTATTTACTTTAACCCCATTGTCTCAAACGGAGAATCTTTAGACCCTGTTGTTTTCTTGTAACTACGGTGCCTCCGGCTCTAAGTGCTCCAAATGTCAGCTTTGTAACAGTGCCTTCTCAAGCAGAGCAACACACGTGAATACATGAAGCTGCTTTATACTGACCCAGACCACCCGTCTATCAAAGTCAGTCTTGTCTATTCAGATTGGCAGAAACTCTCCAGGGTCTCAAACTGAGGTCTTTCATGTTACCTCCTTCCTAATCCTTTTAGCTAGAGATGCCAGGGATTGAATTGGGGACCTTCTGGCATGCCAAGCAGATGTTGTCGTGTTGGTAGGGAGAAGGGCTGGGGCCAGTGAAAAACATCTTGCACCCAGTGTTCCCCCTAAGCTGAGTTAGTGTGAGCGAGCTCACAGTTTTTTAGCCTCCGGCTCACACGTTTTTGTCTTAGCTCAGGATGGATGGCTCCAGAGCAAACTAATTTATGCAGCAGCCAAATCACTCATTCACAACTTTAATGCCAGTAGCTCACAAAGTAGCTTTTGTGGTCACAAGACTCCACAGCTTAGAGGGAGCACTGCTTGCACCCTACTTCGTTTGCATTTCCTTCACTTATGAAGCTGATGGGCAGTAGGTTCAGGACAGACAAACAGAAATACTACATTACACAGATGTGATTAAAATGTGGAATTTGCTGCCAGAGGATGTGCAATGGTCACAGCTTTAAAGGGGGATTAGATTGATTCATGGAGGATAAGTCTATCGATGGCTACTAGCCATGGGGACTGAGGGGACGCCCACAATCAAAGGCACTAAGCCTCTGAATCCTAGAGCTAGGAGGCAACAGCAAGGGAAAGCCTCGGCCTCTCTGCCCTGCTGTTGGCCCTCCAGAGGAACTGGTTGGCCACTGTGTGAGACAGGATGCTGGACTACATGGACCACTGGTCTGATCCAACAGGGCTCTTCTTATGTTCTTATCAGGGGCAGGCCTTGGCCTCTATGCCCTGTTGTTGGCCCTCCAGAGGAACAGGTTGGCTACATGTCCTACCTACACTGTGTGAGACAGGATGCTGGGCTAGATGGAGTATTGGCTCCCTTCCTTCCCGGTTATTTCTCCACTCTTGCTCCCCGCATGGGGCAAACCTATCAACCCTTTGCTGGATATCTGGAAAAGCGGCTGCAACTCAAGCCGTGACAGCATTGCAACGATTCCGGTGGGTAGCCGTGTTGGAATACCCAGAATAAAATTTTTCTTGGTCTTAAAGGCGCCCCTGGATTCAGGCATTGGAAGAATGGGGAAGGGGGGGGGGGGCGGCTGTCTAATCGACTGCCTTTGCGCAGCTCACTGGCAGAGACACGGGACGGAGGTACCAAAATAGGTGCACGGCACTCGCGAAGGAAGATGTTGGGACAGACAAAAAAAAATAGCCCGCGAGGAATGAGAGCAAACTTGCCAGAAAACCGATCAGGCGTAAATAGAGGCAGCTTTGTGACGAAATAGCACAGAGCCCACTGAGGTAGAAGGCCCCCGACTTCTCCGTCCGGCCATTCCGCTCAGCGCGCCGCCCCGAGAAGGAGGACCCGTTTCTCCTGGTCTCCGCCGGGGCCGTTTTTCTCTCCTCTCGTCTTTCGGAGGGAGCCGCCGCGATGCCGCTTTACGAGGGTCTCGGGAGCGGCGGCGAGAAGACGGCCGTGGTGATCGACCTGGGCGCGGCCTTCACCAAGTAAGGGGCGCGGCTCTCTCCCTGCTCCTCCCTTCCTGAAGTGGGGCGCAGCCCCCCCCCCCTCACCTGGATTTCCCCAGATCTCTATCAGGCTCTTCTTCTTCCCTTCCCCTCCAGAGTTCAAGGCCCCAGTTGACACACGCAAGAAAATGGGGAGCCAGTGGAGGGTCGCCTTTTGGTGTTTTAGCCCCCTGTTACAGGTTCCGTGCGCCTTGGTGTTTAGTCATGCCGGCCACATGACCACGGAAACGTCTTCGGACAGCGCTGGCTCTTCGGCTTGGAAACGGAGATGAGCACCGCAACCCTAGAGTCGGATTCGACTGGCTTTCGAGCAAGGGAGACCTTTACCTTTACGTTTTACAGGCAGTTGGCCGGTGGAACTCACTGCCACCGGACGGGGTGGCAGCCCCGTAACTTGGGGTTTATACCTTTCTTAACAATAGAAAAGAGCAGGAGTACAGAAACACTCACGAAAGTTCATCCGCTGCCGCTATTTTCTTAAGTCTTTAAGGTGCACTGCTGCTGGACTCTTGCTCTTTTCAGCTGCTACAGGCAGACTAACACGTCTACCTGTCTTGATCTGTCTCAACAGAAGTGAGCCCTGACTCACAAAAGCTCCTCCCCTGCCACATATTTTGTTAGTCGTTAAGGTGCTCCTGGACTCTTGCTCTTTTCTACTGCTACAGACAGACTAAGACGGCTACCCATCTTGATCTATCTCAACAGAAGTGAGCCATGACGCACAAAAGCTCCTCCCCTGCCACATATTTTGTTAGTCGTTAAGGTGCTCCTGGACTCTTGCTCTTTTCTCCTGCTACAGACAAGTATCTGAAGAAGTGAGCAGTGACTGACGAAAGCTCGTCCCCTGCTGCATATTTTGTTAGTCTTAAAGGTGCTGCTGGACTCTTGCTCTTTTCTCCTGCTACAAACAAACACGAGTATCTGAAGAAGAGAGCAGTGACTGACGAAAGCTCGTCCCCTGCTGCGTATTTTGTTAGTCTTTAAGGTGCTACTGGACTCTTGCTGTTTTCCGCTGGTACAGACAGACTAACACGGCTACCCATCTTGATATACCTTTTCTAAAAATATTGACATTTTGATGTTTTGTTGCCTGCTTAGTTTTATTTGAACCAGGGTTATGTGGGGTGGAGCTGTGGCTCAGTGGTAAGAACAACAAACAAAAAATCACTGTGATATAGATGACAACACATGTTAAGTAAAAATCATATTATATTGTAAAACTTGGCAATATTACAGGTCTATCATTCTCAATGAGCATCCGGATATAAACTCATTTCGTCCCAAAAGTTTGTATAATATTCCATTCAGCTTCATGTTGCTTATGGGAACTGAGCTGTTTCATCAAGCGTTCAAATAAGAACTGACTGCACCGGTTGGGTTGCACTAGCACATTACCATAGGATGCCACCATATTTACTTAGTTTTACTGTTTTATTGTATTTTATATCTTGTATTCGCTGGTTTTAAATTGTATGTTGTTTTAAACTGTTTGTAAGCCGCCCTGAGCCGCCTTGGCGGGAGGGCGGGGTAGAAATCCAATAAATAAATAATTCATTTAAAATACCATGGGTTATTTTTCAGGATTATTTGAAATATATAAAGAAGAAATTAAACATTGGGTTGCTCTTAAACAGAACATTGAACTGTAGCAAGAGGCTGACACCTTCATTACTATAGGATTACCCCTGAGGAAGATTGGGACGAAATGAGTTTATATCCGGATGCTCATTGAGAATGATGGACCTGTAATATTGCCAAGTTTTACAATATAATATGATTCTTACTTAACATGCGTTGTCATCTATATCACAGTGTTTGTTTGTTTGTTGCATTTCCTATACCTGTGATCCCTTCTTGGTTTTTTCAGCGGTAAGAGTGCCTTCTTGGCCTGCAGAGGGTCCCAAGGTTTAATCTCCAGTGAAAAGGACCAGGCAGTAGGTGATGGGAAAGACTTCTGCCTAAGACTTCGGAGAACTGCTGCCAGTCTGAGTAGACAGTGCTGACGTTAATGGATCAAAGATCCAATCCAGTGTAGAGCAGTTCAGATGTGTTCAAACACATGCGTTCACGTGACAGGCCTGTTTTTTCTCCACCTTGTTGGCATACATAGGATGATGGGCATCTGGTGATGGGCATCATCACCTTAGACCTCACTAGGTTTGTCACCCTCCAGGTGTGGTGTGGGGATCTCCCAGAATTACAACTTATCTCTGGATGACAGAGATCAGTTTGAGTTACTTCTTGTCTATTGGTATTGTTGTTTTAGCTGGGGATGTTTTAACTGTTATTGTAAACCACCCTGAAATAAGATGAAAGGTGGGGTATAAATATATATTGTTCTGCCTACTGGCAGTTTTAAATTATTGATTTTAACTAGTGACTTTTATGTGTTTATTGATTAACTAGTTTATTGATTAGTGTTTTATTATATTTTATTTTTATTGTGTTTTATGATGGTTTACATTGTAAGTTGCTTTGAGTTCCTATAAGGTAGAAAGGCAGTCAATAAATGTTTTAAAGGACTAAGCTAAAATAAATGTTTTCTAGATGTGGCTTTGCTGGTGAAACTGGACCAAGGTGTGTGATTCCTAGCGAAATAAAGAAACCTGGTGTTCCAAAGGTAACCCTTTTTAAAAAATTTGGTCTTACTGACATTTTGCTGGATATCCTTTAAATGCATGTTGAAAACAGAGTTTAAATGTGTATGTCTTTTGTCACCCTTAAAATGTCCTAAAGGAGACCATTTTCTTGACGCCGTTAGAAGGGATCCTAGAGGTCACCTACTCCAACCCCCTTGCTCAGTGCGGGAATTAGTCAACTACAGCACCCCACTCTGCTTAAGGGAGTGCAAGCCTTTAAAAAATGTTTTTAAATGATTGAAAAAAGCGTTTACAAGAGACATTCTTGTGAAGCTGAGCCTTTAAGAAAGGGAACGGAGCCCCAAAAAGCTCCACTGTAGCTATGGGCCTGATTCTCTCTCCTCTTCCCCAGTGTGTTTTTAAAATTACCCCTTTCCCCCTGTACATGGTTTCTCTGTCTATGCAGCTCCACCTCCTGCAGTAGCCATGTTGTGTTCTGCACTTCCTCCTGCAGCAGCCATTTTGTGGTTGTCCACTACCCTGCATCAGGTTTCCAAAGAGGACATGGGATAGCAGCAGTGATAGTAGAGGGTGTCTTACACAGAGTTGTAAGACAGAATTACAGTCAGTATGCATAGCTGTTCAGCAGCTGTGTGAACTGAGCTACAGCACGAGCCAACTGGTACCTGCAAAGAGGCCCTAGGTATAAATTACTGTTTAAGGTCTATGGCCCCGGTCACACGGGCCGGATATCGTGGGGGGGGCGTGGCTAAATGCCCCAGAGGAAACTAACGTGTGGCTGCCCGAGCACACGTCCTGGTCGAGGTCCCGTGGTTCGGGGAAAATGCCGATCAGACGGGTATCCTGCAGCGCGGCACAGAAGCCGTGCCACGCAATCGCACTGGCAATCGCTCTTTGTGCGCATGCACTGCTGGGCGCTGTTGCGCAACCTGCGGAGACAAACAGCGGCGGGCGCCGGATGCCACGTAAGTCCACCGGGAACGCAATCAGACACCCGCCCTTGGCCCACGGTTTCAGGAAAGTAGTACCTCGTAGGTACTAGTTTTTAACTCCGCACCTTCGGCGGGGAGCCACAGGTTCGCCACGGGAGCACTGCGCTTCGCAGATGTTGGGGTGAGATCGCGCCCAGAAAATCCGCAGGACTCCCGTGCCTCTCCCGCGGCAACTTTGCCGTGTGACCGGGGCCTAAATCAGTTATAACTTAGCAAATAATACCATCCCTGGCATCCACACATCACGTTGAAGAATTGACTTTTTTTCTTCTTTGCAGCCTGTCAAGGTTGTTCAGTACAACATAAATACAGAAGAGTTGTATTCCTACCTGAAGGAGTTCATCCACATGCTTTATTTCAGGTAGGAAAGGTTGCGATGCTGAGTCTGTGCCGATTGCATGGCTGTGGTGCGGGTCAGAGGAACTGGCTTCTGAGAAAAGACTGTGGCTCCCTGACAGAGCATCTGCTTGGCATGCAGAAGGTCCCAGGTTCAACCCCTGGCATCTCTGGTTAAGGCCCCCCCCAGTGACCCCTGTTCCATGCCCAGAAGATGACAAAACCCCTCCAGGATCCCTGGCCAAACTGGCCTGGAGAAAAATTGCTTCCTGACCCCAGAGTGGTGATCAGCATTTCCCTGAGCATGTAAGAAAGCCATTCCTGTCATTCCTGTGACACTGACACCATGCAATCACTTAAGAAGAGATTGGATTTATATCCCTTCCTTCACTTGGAGTCTCAGAGTGGTTTACAATCTCATTTCCCTTCCCCTCCCCGCAACAGACACCCAGTGAGGTAGGCGAGGCTGAGGGAGCTCTTTCCAGAACTGTCCTTGAGAGAACAGCTCTGACAGAACTGTGGCTTGCCCGAGGTCATCCAGCAGCTGCAAGTGGAGGCGTCCAGGTAAGGGCTCCTTTGGAGGTAGTGCAGAGGAGCAGAGCTGGTGGCTATCAGCCATATGTGGCTATTAGCCATAGGGTGTCGTGGTTAAGTGTGCGGACTCTAATCTGGGAGAACCGGGTTTGATTCCCCACTCCTCCACTTGCACCTGCTGATGTGACCTTGGGTCAGTCACAAGCAGTGTTCCCTCTAAGCTGAGTTAGTGTGAGCTGGCTCACAGTTTTGTAGCCTCCAGCTCACACATTTTTGTCTCAGCTCAGGAAGGATGGCTCCAGAGCAAATTAATTTATGCAGTAGCCAAATTGCTTGCTCACCACTTTAATGTCAGTAGCTCACAAAGTAGAATTTTTGCTCACAAGACTTCACAGCTTAGAGGGAACATTGGTCACAAGCTCTGGCACAGCTGTCCTTGAAAAAGAGCAGTTTGTGTCAGAGTTCTCTCAGCCCCACCCACCTCACAGGGTGTCTGTTGTGGGGAGGGGAAGGGAAAGGAGTTTGTAAGCCGCTCTGAGACTCCAAGTGAAGGGTGGGGTATAAATACAATCTCTTCTTCTTCTTCTAGTGGATGTTAGCCACAAGGTCTAGATGGAACCCTCTGTCTGGGGCAGTGATGCTCTATATTCTTGGTGCTTGGGGGGGGGGCAACAGTGGGAGGGGCTTCTGGAGTTCTGGCCCCGCTGGTGGACCTCCTGATGGCACCTGGTTTTTGGCCACTGTGTGATGCAGAGTGTTGGACCGGATGGGCCACTGGCCTGATCCAACATGGCCTCTCTTATGTTCTTTGGCTAGTACTGAGCATTACCCTGAATGGTAATACCCAGTTTGGTGTAGTGGTTAAGTGCGCGGACTCTAATCTGGGAGAACCGGGTTTGATTCCCCACTCCTCCACTTGCACGTGCACTGCTGATGTGACCTTGGG